GAAGGTAAGGATTAGCCGAGGTGGGACAAGTGGTCCGAGAGAAAAGGAAATATCCGGGTGAAAAATGGAAATAGCTCGGATAAGGGCGGTTTATCCGAGAGAGAAGGGATTTGCACCGTGGCCCAAGTGTTTGGTCGGCTATTTTGTTGGTTTATCGCGCGAATGGTTAGTCGGTACAGGGAATAGCCGAGAGAATCGAATCGGACCGGGATAAATCCTACTGGAACCAGGAAAATGTCGGTTAAGTCCGAGTTACCTAGGGTTTTGCGAGTATATAAGGATTTATGATACTTAACTCGAGGGTGTTGCGTTTATTTGAGCTAAATAAAGCAAAGAGAGAGTTTAGTCGAGAGAAAACCCTAAGGAAAACAGTTTATCCCGAGGACATCCGAGAGAGATCGAGCTATCGCCGAGCAGATCCGACCATCACCGAGATAAATCGGTAAGCGACTGAATAATTCCCTAAGTGTTGAGTTTTCATCGGATAACCTCGAGCTAATAGCCTTGTTTTGTAGGGTTTCCGAGGATAAACAGAGTTTGGCTCGGAGAAAGGTGAACGGATCGAGAGATAGCTGAAGGGAAAGGGATCGGATCGTACGGACAGCCGAGAGATTCCAAGGGTGATCAAATATCTTCGATTTGGTGCGGATTTCATCGGGATTTCTTCTGACCAATCTGTTTCCAGCCTTGTTTAAGGTGAGTGCGTGACTGTGGTTGGTGTCTAGGATCGTTGGATTGCTAGGGTTGAATGTTTTGCATGTTTGATTGTGTGATTTTCATGTTGTGTGTTTAGAACTGATAAGTGATTATATCTTATGATATGGTGAGGTGTTTACCGTGGCATAGATGATGTCTAGCTAACCTCAGGGTAATCCGGATCATGTACTAGCATAGGGGATGTGGGATTCTCGGTGAAGTAGACATGGGTCTTAAAAAGGGATTGATCTTGGTTGGTTAGGTTAGATGATCATGGCCGTTTATTATAAGTTATGTTTATTACGAATTGATTGTGTGGGATGTTGAATCCGAAAGTATGAATGTGTTTTTGTTACTGACCAGGTGTTACGGGATGACCGTACTCACTAAGTATTTATGAAATACTTATGCCTCTCTTCTTGAGTGTGCAGGTAGTAAGCAGTAAAGGGAACGAGACCAGGCAGCAGTAATGGACATGGATGGATCGGGGATTGGGTTTATTTATGATTTAAGAAGTTGTGCTTTGTCTTATAGCTTTGGTGTTTGACCGTTAGGTTGCTAGCTGATCGTTTGTAATTGTTAGCGAACCATTGTGATTTGTTTAAGTTAACCCCGAATCTTGTTAAGTGATTTTTATACAATTTAATGAAATGAAATGAGTTGTTTAAAATCCGCTGTGTATTGTTAAGTTTAAAGAAAAAGTTAAAAATATGGTTAAGTATAAAATACGGATTTAGAGGATGTAGTGGGACTCGGCCGCGGTATAGGTTGCCGGGTTGGGTTACCACATAACGTCGGAAGGTTTTGCCGCTTTGACAAGGGATGAGATAGTGGAGTTAAATAAACTGTTCTCTGAGACAGACGTAAAGGTCTTGATTCGATCTATGGGGAAATATAAAGTACCTGGCCCAGACGGGTACCAACCGGTCTTTTATCAGGAGAGTTGGAAAGTAGTGGGACCTTCTGTGACTCGGTTTGTGCTTGAGTTCTTCACATCTGGGAACCTACCAGAAGGAACAAACGCGGCAATGGTGGTCCTCCTGGGGAAAGTGCTGAAACCAGAGAAGATCACACAGTTTCGCCCCATAAGTTTGTGCAATGTTTTGTTTAAAACGATCACGAAAGTGATGGTGCTGCGAATGAAGAAGATTATGCCGAAGCTTATTGGTCCTTCTCAAGCAAGCTTTATCCCATGGAGGCTTAGTACTGATAATATTGTCCTAGTGCAGGAAGTTGTGCATTCAATAAGACGTAAAAAGGGGAGAAAGGGCTGGATGCTTCTGAAGCTGGATCTCGAGAAAGCATACGACAGGATAAGATGGGATTTCCTTGAGGATATGTTACGAGCAGCTCGTTTTCCTTAGAAGTGGGTCATGTGGATAATGAAGTGTGTTGTTGATCCTTCAATGAGTCTGGTGTGGAATGGGGAGAGAACGGAATCCTTTACTCCTCAACGGGGTCTCCATCAAGGTGATCCGTTATCACCATACTTGTTTGTGCTATGCTTGGAGAGACTCTGTCATCAAATTGAGTTCTCTATTGCTGTGAAGGAGTGGAAACCGATACGCTTGTCTCAAGGGGGGCCGCAGTTGTCACATGTGTGCTTTGCAGATGATCTTATTCTCTTTGCCGAAGCCTATGTGGTTCAAATCCGTACTATAAGGAAGGTACTTGAAAGGTTTTGTGCGGCTTCTGGTCAGAAAGTGAGCTTGGATAAATCCAAAATATTCTTTTCTGATAATGTTAACCGGGCTTTGGCAGCAGCGATAAGCAATGAGAGTGGGATCAGTTTAACTCTGGAGTTAGGAAAGTATCTGGGCATGCCTATACTGCAAAAGAGAATCAATAAGGAGACCTTTGGAGAAATCATTGAGAAAGTGTCATCGCGTCTCGGAGGTTGGAAGGGTCGCTTTCTGAGTCTAGCGGGGAGGATCACACTAACTAAATCAGTTCTCACATCGATTCCAGTGCACATTATGAGTACAATTGTCCTGCCCAAGCCAACACTTGAGAAGTTGGATAAGATTTCATGGTCTTTTATTTGGGGTAGCACCGTCGAACAAAGAAAGCAACATCTGATATCCTGGAAAAGAATATGTAGACCTAAAGAAGAAGGTGGCTTGGGAATTCGCCTCTCCAAGAACAAAGCTTTATTAGCGAAACTTGGTTGGCGGCTAATAAATGATAATTCTGGCTTGTGGGCAAAGGTTTTACACAGCAAGTACCGAGTAGATGAAGTTCGTGGTGGGTCGTGGACTGTGGCGAAGGGTAACTGGTCTCCTACATGAAGAAGTATAATGTTGGGTATTCGAGATGTAGTACTTCCGGGAATGAGTTGGGTGGTTGGTAATGGACTTCAGATTCGGTTCTGGCAAGATAAATTGCTTCTGAATAAACCGCTCTTGACTCTGGCCATGAATGATATACCGGGACACTTGAGTAAAGCTAATGTACGAGAACTCTGGAGTAATGGTACTGGATGGGGAATGCAAGACCTGGCTACACTGCTTCCTCATAATATTCAACTACAGCTGGCATCAGTAGTAGTAGATGAAGTTACAGGAGCAAAAGACAGAGTTTCATGGAGGAGAATCAAGATGGAAACTTTACTGTCGAATCAGCTTATACTTACATTACGAGGAGTGAGTGTTTGGGGCAGAATTTATCAAAGTTGTTTAAACGGGTATGGAGTGTAGTGGCTCCCGATAGAGTGAGGGTATTCCTGTGGCTAGTGGCTAGCCAAGCCATCATGACAAATATGGAAAGACACCGTCGGCACCTCAGCGATACAGAGGTCTGTCAAGTGTGCAATGGAGGAAACGAGACTGTCCTGCTACAATGGGGATCTGGAAACGTCTCGTATCCACAGGGCGACAACATGGTTTCTTCACACAATCCCTACTTGAATGGCTATATGAAAATTTGGCTGGAGAAGTATCAGGACAAGAGAGCTCTTGGGGAACGTTGTTTGCAACAGTTGTTTGGTGGAGCTGGAAATGGTGTTCATGGCAAGTGCCGAGATAGAGTGAAATTTTTTAAAGACCTGGCCCAAGAAGCAGTACTTGCACACTCAAAGTTGAGAGGGAATTCGCAGTTAGTGGAAAGAGTGGAAAAACAAATAGCATGGTCCCGGCCGGCCTCCGGAGGGATGAGTGAAGCTAAATAAAGATGGTGCTTCACGGGGTAATCCTGGACTTGCAACAGCGGGTGGGGTTCTACGAAATGCAGCTGGGGACTGGTGTGGGGGATTCGCAATTAACATCGGCATATGTTCGGCTCCATTGGTTGAGTATGGGGTGTATATTATGGATTGTGCATCGCCTGGGAACACAGGATAATGCGGCTTGAGTTGAGAGTGGATTCAGAGTTGGTGGTGGGATTCTTACAGATAGGGATAAGTGTGTCGCATCCTTTGTCATTCCTAGCACGTTTGTGCTATGGCTTCATCTCGCGAGACTGGATAGTCAAGATTTTACATGTGCATCGGGAAGCAAATCATCTTGCAGATGGTTTGGCAAACCTTACGTTTTCATTACCTTTGGGTTTACATATTTTCGATTTTGTTCCGGATGATGTTCAATCTGTTGTGTCGGATAATGCAAATGAGAGGACAAGGTCCCGACATGTATGTTTGTAACGTTTTCTTTGTTATAAATAAATAGTAGGAGACTTACGTCTCCAACCACCTACCAAAAAAAAAAGAATACAACTTTAGAACTAATAGAAATCCTAATCGAAAAGGAAACTAAACATAAACTTAAATAAGAAAAAAGAAAGCACTAGCTGGAAGACCAAGCTAAACACTAAGACCAAAAAGAGATGATTTTTGTAAATGAGTACGAATGCTTTTTATTAAAAGTTTTAAATTTTTCATAAGAAAATTCACTGTCGGACCGGATTGTTGTAACCTAGTCACGTAAAAACTATGATAATTTAATTTTTATTTCATAATTCTAAAAATCAAGTAATTTTATATTCAAAAAAAGAAAATAAAAGACTTTAGACTTTTTCTAAGACTAAAAAATTATAAACAAAAAAAATTACTTTGTATAATTTTAATTTTCAATGTAAATAATTTTGCAAAGTCCACAATTATACATTCTGTTTTAGGTAAAAGTTAAAATAAATCCCAAACAAAAACATTACTATAGTGAAGGGCATTTGACCAAAAAAATATATCTAAATCTATATGGCCAGTTTTTTATTAAGGAAACTCGTTACATATTGTTCATTACATACTATGGAATATCTTTTATCTAAATTTAAACATACATGTGCATATAAGTACACACACACAAGACCAACGAAATTCACAAGAAGCAAGGTAAATCATATCATAGATTTTGTTGACGAAAACAAGAAATGTTCGGTCTTATTCCAGATTTTATTAATTTGATTTTAAATCTCGTTTTTATAGGTTTTGCATTTTAGAAGATTTAGTGATATATTCCCCCACAAGAGTTGTTGTATCTTTAAGAACGAATGGCAATCAAAAACAATTCTTCTCTTCTATTACCCTTGTTGATGGTGTTTGCTCTTATCTTCATGCCCGTGATTTCAGGTAACATATATCAATTTGTGTAAGACTAAGTTTTCTCAAGCTAATATAAAATTATCTTTAAAATATTATACCCTGAAGTCACTAAACACAAAATCAAAAATTATGTATAGGTTATTTGCAAGACACATCTTAAAATGTTAAATTGGTCATTTTAGTACCTAAGAATACTATTATTATGTTTGTTTATGAATCAATTATAGGAGAAGTCATCAAAATATGTGCATTCGATTGTTATAGCACAGTGGAATGCAGTAATTCATGCATACGTGAGGGGTACGTCCAAGGGGTATGTGTACAAAATGCTCATGGTACTGGTCTTGAGTGTTGCTGCGTAGTCGATGACCCTTCTAGATCTCAAAATGGTTCTCCCATTTCTACTATGGACCATAATAAATAAATTTTCATCTACTACATATTATTTAAGAAGTAACATTATTCAAAATAGTTGACTTGTCAACACTATAACTAAAGTTAGTGTTTTTAATTGATGACATGTAAATGTGACATGTCAAACTTCCTAAAATAAACGAAATATTTTGATTGGTTGAATTAAAATTCTAGAAATTATGGAATTAAAAAATAAATAAACTAGATTATATTTATAACACTAAAATTAACAAATTTAAATTAACAGAAAATAAAATTTATTATAATTTCAATTTTTTACATATATTCATAATTTCATAAAATATAATTACGAAAAATTTTCAACAATATATATATATTATAATTTCATATAAAAACCAAAAAAATACTAAATTATGCAATAGAATAATAAAAATTCTATTATTAATAATACTTGAAGTGTGATATATTTTAATTTCGAAAAGTTATTAATTTAAAAAATATATTAATAACATCTAAACAAATTTTAAATAAACAAATTATTAAATAATACATTTTTAACTAAAATACAAACATGATAAAAATAATTTAAAGAATAAAATGTTAAAAATAATAAAAAATAATCAACTTTTATTGAATTTTTTTTTAAAAACTTAATTTTAAATAAATTTTCTTTTTAAACCAATATTTACTAAATAAATAAAGTATATACTAATTATTATTTTATAATATTCATAGGACCATATATTTTTCTATAACTTTTATCATCTTTTTATTGTTATTTTCTAAAATATACATAACTTATGTTACCATATCATCTTATCTCTTATCATATTTTAAATAAAAATAAATTTTATATCATATTCATATATATATATATATATAAATATATACATAAATTTATTTTCATTGTAAATCAAAATTTTGAGAACATAAATAAAATGAAAAATAACCGAATGAAAGATAAAATTATAATAAGATGAAACAATATGAATAAGAAATAAAAATAGAAGTATATAAAAATAAATCTCTCGCACTTTTTTTACAAAGTCACTTAAAAACTTTTTAACACGTAAGAGTCATATTTCAATTTTTTTACAAATACGCGTACATACATAAATATTAATTGTACATTAGTTGAAGTCACATGCGAACTTTTTCGTGCATGTATTTTATTAAGATTGATTACAGTCTAATTTTTATTTTAATTATTATACAATTTATATTTTTCTAAAAAATATTTATGTATTCTAAGTGTAGTGAAGTGGTTGGTATGTCTGCACAGGCGTGCCAACCATCTATCCGCTCTTAAGAATAAGTGAAAATAGTAAAAACTATTTCAGTTTAATTTACAATAAATCAAGAAAAAATATATACTTAAAATATATTATATATGTATCTGTAAATTCATATTATGTAAGACGCAAAAAAAATATATTATAGATTGTGTAAGGAGAAAAAAGTATATTATAGAAATATTCAAAAAATATTATAAGAATTTAATAATTATTTAACATAACTTTTATAATTGTGATTATATATTATTACAAGCATTATAAAAATAAAAATTTTAAAATTCATTGGTTTCAGAAAGAAGTTTGTGAAATATTAAAACAATATATATACAAACATACTAATGTTTAAAAAAACTAATCAATATTTAAATATTATAATTAACTATGTATATAAAAAAAATTATACCTGCACATATGTGCGGGCAGCCACCTAGTATCATATGTATTCGGAGTTGTATTAATAAAAAAAATCAAATATTCTAATATGACATCAACAATATATCTCACCCAAATTCTACATAGATCAAAACGTTTATTCATAATCAAATGAACACCAGAAACAAAAAAAAGGACTAAATCTCTAAACTAAATCTACACTTTATTAACACTTTGGATTTTGGAATGTATGTGTAGAATTGATTTGTAACACCATTCTTAGGCCTAAAAGCACATTTCTTGTAACTCATGAAAGTACTGTAGTTGCAAAAATCGTTAATCACCCCACTAAATTCACTATTACAAAACAAAATTAGTTAAAGGATTAAACCTCAAAACAATATGAAAAAGGAACAATGCAAATAGCTTCACCGCTTCTTCCTCTAGGGTTTATGCGTTTCCCTCCAAATCCAGCAATTCTGTCTACAAACTAAGTGAATCCATTCGAAAATGTCTATGATTGAGAATTCGTTGTCTTCACACTCAAATCCGACCTCGAGAATCTAGACATTAACATTAAGAAGTCAGGCGTGTTAAACCAAGCTGCCTGCTCCCGTGGCACGCTGCAAAGATGATATATCATGGTTTTTATGGTTTCTAACCATGGTATAAGTCTTTTTTATTGAGTCTTTTTGGTTTTTTCAGGTTATAGCACAATTGGAGCACGATTAGAGATTATGGAGTTTTTTGGAGCATTGCAAGATACAACCACTAAGTGTGCAACTCAGAAGGCGAATACAGAGCTGGGTGACGCTCGTCACCACCTAAGGATGACGCTCGTCACCCTAGAGGAAGGACTCGCGATTGTTTGTTAAAAGATTGAAGATTGTTTGCACTTTGGCCACTGAAGTTCTAGTATTCACAAAAGTGTTCCAGCTCGTGTTTTAGCTTCTATATATTAGGTTTTCAGCCATTGTTGGCTTTTACCTTAGACTTTAGAATTCAGAGAGCTTCAGAGAAGACTTTATTCAGAGCTTTTGGGGAGACAGATCTTGTACTCTTTTTAGAGAAAATTTCAAACCCCTTTATCTTTTATTATATTCTTTCAATGCAATTCTATTCAGCTATGCTTTGTGATTCTATGATCATGTCTGAGTAATCTGCTAGTTAAGTTAAGGCTTTTCAAAGGTTGATGATGAGTTTGTAGAAATCGCTAACTGTTAGGAATATCTTTTGGTTCTTCATCTTTGCTTGCTTTAAAACCGATTTTCTTAGACACATCATCTGGAATTTAGAAAGCTAGGTTGTTTAATAGATGTGAGAGCATTATTGATAACCTGATCTAGCATTAGATGAGCAAAACGACTTAGTGCAAAGAGATTTGGCTTAGGAGTTTTGTGAACAATTGAACCTGATCATTACTGCATGTTTAGATTGTTAGGATTTGCAAAGAGATTTGAAACTCTGTGATTTAGACATAGCTAACTTCTGCAATGAGAATTGATTAGTTATGAATTTGCGATTCATGTTCAAGACGGTTCTTATTCATTCCTGATTTCATGCATTCTACATTCTCGAATTCAACCTGCGAATTGTCCTGACTTAGCGCTTTTAGTTTTATGAGTCTTAAAATCAATCAAAATCGTTTGCTTTCATAATTTTAGTTATTTTGCATTACATTCACTATTTATTGCTTAGCTTAATCTAAATCTACAAATCGCTAGTGTAGTTAACTTACTCTTTTGGGATTCGATAACCCCTTATACTACGACTGCTTTGATGTGCGCTTACAATAGTTTTTAATTGGGTAAAACCTGAGCCCTATCAAGTTTTTGGCGCCGTTGCCGGGGAGTAATAGCTGCCTATCAATTTCTAGTATTATGATTTTGTCTATGTTTTTATTTGTTTACTGACTTTTGCTACTTTTCTTTGTACTGGTTTCAGGTGTATGCCTAATCGCAATACCAGAAGCAACAAAGAGAAGGAGCTTTTGACCTTAGGCATTGACGAGCTAGCTAAGTTGGAGAGGACCATCAGGAAAGCTAAGAAGGTCACTTGGTTGACACGGAGGGAAACGGGAGGAATGAAGAAGGGCAGAGACTGGATCAAGATGGGAATGTCATAGTTGAACAGCTTGTTCAACAAGTGGCACAAGACGCTGGAGCTCTTGTGGCTGCTAACAACGCTGCTGGGCGTTTTGTTCAGAGGACTATAAGGGATTACAACAGACCTGACCAGTTTGATGCCAACAGAGCTGCAATTCGCCCTCCTGCTTTTCAGAGGAATGATTTTGAGCTCAAGCCTACTTATTATCAGCTGGTGGGACAGAATCTTTTCAATGGCTTACCTCATGAGCATCCTATGGATCACATTGAGAGATTTGGGGATTTGGCTTTATGGATCACCCCCTGGTGACGATCGTCACCCGCCCCAGGTCGATCTTGTATCACCTGTAACTGCAGATAATGGCAAGGTATGTGCTTATAAACCCAAGATACCATTCTCCAAGCATCCTAGGAAGTCTAAACAGGAGATAGAAGAAGCCAAATGCAAAGCTATGATAGACATGCTGATGCTTGAGATCCCTCTTGTTGATGCAGTCAAGCTTTCACCAGCTCTAAGAAGATATGTAAAGAGGATGGTGGTGAATGGTGTAAGTCATGAGCAAGGAGCATTGCTTACCAGATACATCAGTGCAATTCTCTTGGGCGCAGTTCCAAAGAAGAAAAAGAAGGTGCCAGTTTCTGAACAAGTCAGCGCCATCATCCAAAGCAGAATTCCAGAGAAACTGCCTGATCGAGGAACTTTTGTGCTTGATTGCTCAATCTCAACAGGACGTTTTCCCCATTCTCTTTGTGATCTAGGGTCAAAGATTAATTTGATGCCTTCCTCTCTTGCTGCTAAACTTGGAGTGACTGATTTCAAGCCAGTTGAGATCTCTCTTATCCTAGCTTATCGCTCTATAAGAACCCCAGAAGGCATCTTAGAGGATGTTCCTGTGAACATCAAAGGCTGCATGATCCCCACAGACTTTGTGGTTTTGAAATATGCTGAAGAGCCTAAAGATCCTCTAATTTTGGAAAGATCATTCTTAGCTACAACTGGTGCCATCATTGATGTGAAAATGGAGAACATAGAGCTTGATCTTGGTGATGTTGTCATGAATTTTGACATGGATACGTTAAGAGGGAGTTCTACCATTGATGGCCAGACTTTTTCTTTAACTACTTCCAGAGATGAAGAGCCAGTCATGGAGCATTCAGAAGACATTACTGCTAGGAATATCAATGAATCAGATACTTGTGGGCAAGTGAACAAGCTGGCTGTTCAAGGAGCAATCTCTGACACTTCTGCCAAAGCTGTTGGGTTTGAGAATTGGAGTGGAGATCATATCTTCAAGCCTAGGCTCGAAAAGGAGGTTCCAATGAATGACAAGTTGCTGTAGGAAGACGAGTTTGTGATGGAGGCAAGGATTTTAGAGCTGGACTGCAGGAAAACTGCAGAAACTCGAACTGCTGGGTCAGTGACGATCGT